GATGGAGCTTTTCAGCTTGACTTAAAAAATAAAAATAAACAAGTCAAAAAAGGTGACATAAGTTTAAAGATCGAAGAGTTAAATACCCTTGAAAGTAGAAGAAATTAATGAGGAATAAATAAAGTGATTAGATCATCTATTAATGTTATAGGAAATATATATGTAAAAGGTCTAAAAATATTATGTAGAATTATGTGCAAGTCTTAAAGATGTTTCTGATACATCAAGGGAGTCTTTTGATTAGGAAAAACTATAATGCATAATTTATCTAGGATTTTTTGATTATATTCAAACCCCTAGACAAACGATACAACACCCACCCAAAGAGTATCCAAAAAACAAAGACAGATGGAGACCCCCTCAAAAAAAAGAGACTCTGACACCGACAGAGAAAGAGAAGTCTCTTTGAGCTGAAATCTCCAGCGGTGGTCCGCGGCGACAACTGACTGACAACTCTTTAGGCCGTCCGCGTTTAACGGGATTTCTTGAGCAAGTTATTTGCCCAAAAATGGCCAATAGCCGGCGAAGTGTTGACATGGCTGCGACGGGTGACATCGGCGCATGCGTGACACCCCCAAGAGATGGTCTCAACATACAATTGGTTGCGGGGTAAGGGGTACAAGACGAGGGGTAGTTCTGCTGCCTCAAATGGCAACTGGACAATCGGTGGCCAATATGGTAAACACAACCATTCTCTGTCCCACGACAAATTCTTCCACCAGCTGTCCCAGCTCAATTAGCCATCAAGATCATCGCAAGCTTGGGAATTGTTCTTGGCCAACAGCTGGATGGATAGAGAGAGAGAGAGACAGCGGGCCTAGACAAAGGCTGGCATTGTCTCGTCTCTCCGGCGGCAGGATGCAATAAAATGCAGGTGCATATCCCATTTCCCACAACCAAACACATTCATCTCCATGGCCATAGCTTTGACTTTAACTTCAATTGCAGTTGTTTGCACTGGAAATAAAATCAGGGTTTTACAGAGAAATAAAACCTTAAAATAGCATTGAAATAACTCAAAGGAAATAGTAGAAACTAAAGGTAAAAATGAAATTAAATATAGTATAAGATATGGGATCATTTTATCAAATAAACACAATCTTAACTTACTTTATTATGATGCTTGATTGGTTTTTGTATTAATCCCTTTATATATTTCTAAGAATATGGCTATTATTTATTTATATTTTTATATTTATATAGAGTATAGCCTTTAGCTTCCTGTTTTTATCAGCAGTCCTTGCAGTGCATGTCCTTTTCGAACTGCATCCGTGTATTCTCCACTCGCCGCGTTCTCAACATGTTGCCAAGTCATTAACTTGAGCCTGCTCCTGGCTTTTGTTGCATGTTTGTGATTACACATGGGGCGGAGGGTGGGGCAGGAAGGGGATGCGGGGAGGAATGACTGTAACAAAGGCGGCCAGGACATGGACATGTCGTTGCTGCTGCTGCTGTTGTTGTTGTTGTTGCGCCTTGAGCGTTTGGGCCATTTGAAAATTGCAGTAGGGGTTGCAGTCAGCAACCACTTCGAGGCAGGTTCTCATCCCCCTTTTTGGCTACGCCATTGTCTCGGTTCTGCGAGTGTGTTTTGCTCATGTGCGAATTTTTTTTCTTGATGGCTCGAAGAAGAAAACAACCCCCAAGTGGCAGGCACACACACACACACACATCAGCTGCGTGTGGCAATGTCAACTGGGGCGTCTACAAGCTGCTAAGTGCACTTGCCCAGCATTTCTTTTTTGCTCCTTCACCCCCACCACCACCCCCGGTAGGTCTTTCTTTTAGCCATGAATACATAATGCCCTGCACTTGAGGCGGACTCCTTTCTTTTGCTGCCTTCCTTTTTGGCGTGTGTGACAAAGGCGAGAACGAGCCAGCAGGCTGGCTAATTCAGAAGCCAGAATTCAGTCGGGGGTCCGTCAGATAAATGCATTCTCTCTAAATGTTGCAAAAAGGATATGCACAGCCTCATTCATCCCCCTTCCAGAAATCTTTGTATGCTCCTTCCGTTGCCAGTCGGCCGGAAAGTAATTAAAATCTGCGCTTAAGTGCAGCTCTTCAAAATGCTGCAATACAAAGTAAAAAAAAAAATAAAAGGAAACAGCAAGAAGAGTAATTCAAAAAAGAAGGTTTTGGTCGTAGACGAGCCACATTGGGTGGTAGCTAATTGTTAAAGATTTCAGTTTCCAAAAGAAAGCCATATAGCTAAATAAATTCAAATTGTTAAAAAATAAAGTGTATTCTTTTAAATTCTAAACTCACCAATGTTCAAGGCGACCTCTAGTGAGCTTTGAGTGTAAACTAATAGGGAATTATTAGAATATCCTTAGAAGAGACAAGGGCGCCCTCTGCTGGCTGTCAAAAGTGTTCTCAGTTGGGTTTTCTCTTAGTCCGGACACATGCAATGTGGGAACAGTTTACAAGAGAGGAGAAAAACATGGAATATAAAATTCGCAGGGGTTGAAAACCTAGAGGAGAAGTGAAACATCGCAGAGGCACAGAAACATCGCTTGGAAATAAACTCAAACTCAAGTTAAAACTCAAACTCAAACTCACCCTCGAAAAATATTTCCCCTTAATAGTAAGTCACTCAAAAAGGTATTTTAAGGGGAGGAAATTTATAAAGCTCAACATGATGAGTGACTCGAATCGAGTTGAGTTCAAAAGAAGCCCCTTCCTTATGTAGACATTACTTTCATGTATTTACTCGTTCCATTTCGGGCAGCTGTGCTAATTAATCGAAACTGTGCAGTAATTGAACAGAACTAATAGAAAATGTATTTGTAGTTAAAAGACATGTAATATTAAATAGGATTTTACGAGTTACGAGTTACATTATATTAAAATATTAAAATCTAAAATAGAAATAGACAATTGGGATTTGAAAATTCATGAAAATCGAATAAGTCTTTGTTTATTTAAAATAAATATATTTATTAATCCTCAAAAATAGGAAATAAATAAAATATACATAAAATACATTATTTTAATATAACTAATATAAAGAGTAATTAGGTTAATCAGGCATAGTAAGATCTACTAATATAAACGTTAGCATTCTGTTAGACTTACTCTCTGATATCCTTTTTTTTCTCTTCTACAGCAATCAATATATTATAAATTAAAATCGGTAAGTAATCAGTCTGCAATAATTTTAAGTTCCTAAATATATTTTAAATAATTTCAAAGACAATTATTGTATGAAGTATTAGCCCCACATTTTTCCTACCTCATTTTCACATCCCCACTAAAACCTTGTCACATGACATCCGTGAAACTCTTTCTGACTGATATCCCCATTCGCTCATATTAAATCCCGAAATTAACTAAAAGTTAGAGGGCCAATGGCAAAGAATGCCCAGTGTTTTCAATATGTTGCAAACATTCTCGGCATTTTTGCAAACTTTTTCTTGCCACACGCAGCTGCCGGGATAAAGTTTCGGTTTTGCTGAGCGCAAAAAAGAAAAAATCCTGCAAGAGATTCGCCATCATCATCATCATTTTCATCATCATCCGAATACATCATTGTTCGTTCGCTTCGGGCACAAGTTCAATTCTCAAATGCAAACTGCAAATGAGCAAAAAATTGTCCGACTTCAAAGGGAGGAGGAGAGTGGAGGGGAGCGGAGCGGAAGGGGGGAAAACTGTGAAAATTGAAATGAAAATTACCCATTGTGGCATCGGCAGCATTTCAATTTGAGCTGCCATTTTGCACGTGCCCGGAGAAGGCTTCTTCCTTCTGACCTCCGTCCCTGCTCCGCAATCCCCTCTAATGGTCCATGGCTGGTTGAGTTTTCCCCGCTTTTCTCGCCCTCCCAACACCCCACCTTGGGTAATCTTGGCAAATGCCTGGGAGCCTTGCATTTTATTCATGGCCTTGGTCCACGTCCGACTTTATTAGTTATTTTCCGCTCAATTTGTGCTCCTGGGGAGGCAGGATAACAAGAAAAATTATTTTCATTTCATTCAACACATTCATTATGTCCCAAAGAGTGGTCCTTTTCCACTCCCACGCACCTTTCGTTGGCCTTTTGTTACAGGTTTTTTTTAAAGCAAGAGAAATATTTTATCACTAAGCTTATGAAATTGGGGATGATTAAGAGAGATTTTTCATATATTTGTAAGCATTTTATAAATATCTATTTATTAGATAAAAACTCATAACTTAGCCCAAAATTGATTAATTTCAATTCGGAAAGCGTTGATATGCTAGTTTTTACCAGGTTAACAAATCTGCATACTCAGTTTAAAATGTAAAAAAAAATATTTTTTTTGCCGATTTTTACAAATTTTACCAATAAAAACTTTTGGAAAAATATGAAAAAAAATTTTTCTGCCGGAGATGGCTAAATCGATTCTGCTTTTACATCTGATCAAGAATATATATACTTTATATGGTCGGAAATGACTCCTTCACAGCATTACAAATTAAAATACCCTGGAAGGGTATAAATATAAGAGTGTTAGATGGCATGGTAAATAAGTTTGGTTCTATACATTTTAGAGGATTACAGTATAACATTTTCTTTTAAAATAAGTGAAATAATATTTGTATATATATTAAAATCAATTTAAATAATATTCCACACATTGTTTGACGTTTAAATTTGTTTAATCAATAAGATTCTGTAAAATTTTGTTAAGTGTTCCCTGCAATTTATTCACTGGCCAAGATGGCGACATCTTTTGTTGCAATTCACGTTGATTAGCGGCCGTTGAAGGTCGTCTTCTGTCATTACCAGCCTTTTCCTAGCTCCTTTTCCTCTTCGTTGAGAATTTTCTCAGCTGTCCTTTGAAGAGTGAGAAAAGTTCACAGCTAATTACATTGGTTAGTTGAAAAGTTTAGGCACAATTATCAACACTTTACCAGGCGCGACATGATTGGGCACAAAAAAAACTTGTCAGACACGCCCTCCCGCAGTCAATATATAAGACTGGAGTCCAGGGATTGACCAGAAACAGTTCTAGTTCGAATTTTCCGTGCAAAGTAACCTATAAAAATGGACAAGGAAGAGGAGGAGACTACACCGAGGACCTTTGAGGACATGATGCGGGTGCCAGTGCAGTTTTACAGGAGCATTGGCGAGGATATCTACGCTCATCGGTCGAAGAATCCACTAAAATCACTCCTTTTGAAGATATATCTTTATGCGGGATTTATCAATTTCAATTTATTGGTGATTGGTGAACTGGTGTTCTTCTACAAGTCCATCCAGGACTTTGATACCATTCGTTTGGCCATTGCCGTGGCACCTTGCATTGGCTTCTCCCTGGTCTCTGACTTCAAGCAATTCGCAATGGCTTACCGCAAGCAGTTATTGGTTCAGCTCCTGGACGAGCTGGAGGACATGCATCCGAAGAGTATTCAGAAGCAAAAGGAATACCAAATGCCAGATTTCGAGAAGACCATGAAGCGAGTGATCAATATCTTTACTTTTCTGTGTTTGGCCTATACCACAACCTTTTCCTTCTACCCGGCCATCAAGGCTACGGTGAAGTATAATTTCCTGGGCTACGATACCTTTGATAGGAATTTTGGTTTCTTGATTTGGTTTCCCTTCGATGCTACTAGTAATAATCTTATTTATTGGATTACTTACTGGGATATAGCTCATGGTGCTTATCTAGCTGGGATAGCCTTTCTCTGTGCGGATCTCCTCCTGGTGGTAGTCATCACCCAAATCTGCATGCACTTTAATTATATATCTATAAGACTCGAGAATCATCCTTGCAATCCGGAAGAGGACAAGGAGAACATCGAGTTTCTTGTGTGGATCATCAGATATCACGACAAGTGCTTGACGTGAGTGTAACTATTTTTTAGAATTTAATTTTCTTACTCAAGATAAATCTTTACCTTTTCCTACACAGTCTCTGTGAACATGTCAACAGCTTGTATAGCTTTTCTTTGCTCCTCAATTTCCTGATGGCTTCGATGCAGATCTGTTTCATAGCCTTTCAGGTCACAGAGTCCACAGTGGAGGTAATCATTATCTACTGCATTTTCCTAATGACCTCCATGGTTCAGGTTTTTATGGTCTGTTTCTATGGAGACTCTTTGATAGCAGCGGTGGGTTTAGGATGAGAAGTATTTTAAAGATTTTGCATTAAATCAATATTTATTCCCAGAGTCTTAAAGTGGGCGATGCAGCCTATAATCAGAAATGGTTTCAGTGCAGTAAAACCTATTGCCATATGCTAAAGCTACTGATAATGAGGAGCCAGAAGCCGGCTTCTATAAGACCGCCGACTTTTCCGCCCATATCTTTGGTTACTTATATGAAGGTAGTATTTTATAGTGAGTGTATTAACAATTATATAAATTGTTGTTCTTTTTATTAGGTCATCAGCATGTCCTATCAGTTCTTTGCCTTGCTAAGGACCACCTACAAAGATGGCTAATTATTAAAATAAATAATAACAAAATGCTTATCCTTCTACTAGTCAAAGCCAGTTAGTGGCAGAGTTTACAGACTTAAAATGCCTTAATTACAACTTTTACAGAAATATAATAGATATATTCTGACCTGCTTTTGCTTAAAACCTAAATAAAAAACCAGCTAGAGTCCCATGCTTAATTGATTAATTAAAACACTTCTCTCTATTTTCCACATAAAATTTCTCTTCTGGAAATCGATTTGCCAATAAGGGAGATTTTCAACAACTCTTGAAAAGTCCACCTTCTACTTGTATTCCCACCCAACAGCTTCCCAATCGAAGGCCTTCGAACTTAATGACGCCCTCGACACGCTTTGATAATATTTAATTAAAAATCGCATTTAAAATTAATAAGCTTAAATGGAGACCAATAGCGCCTGGCCGAGCACAAAAATCCGGCAAAAGCTGAGGGCCGCACACGAGGCAAACAAAATAATAATATTTTTTTCAAAAGGAATATTACAGCGCACAGGAGCCCAAAAAAGAGAGCCACAAAAAATCAGCAGGCAAAGGGAGTCCTTCTCCTCCGCCTCCCCAGCCTGTCCTTTGAGCCACTCCCCCGCTCTGACCTGGTAATAAAAGGAACAACATAAAACGCAATCACAATCATCGACAATAATCTGGGCAGCAGCGGGAACCAACAAAAAAATGCTTATTATAAAATTTCACAGTTTTTCAATGAGCAAAAAAAAAAATGAGAAAAACATAAAAATCCTAGTGTGCGGGGGTGGAATGGCAATGGCAATGGCTTTTCAAAATCATAATGGCAGCTAGTAACAAGAGTTTTGTGTGCAAATAGGCGGCGGCCAGTGGGAGGGTAGAAAAATTTGTTTTGCCATGGCGGCCAACCGATCAGAGTCGGAGCTGGAGCAAATACCACGTCAGCGGGAGATGGCCCCCATTAGCCATAACTCCCACGTTTTTGTACAGCAAACACCGAGAGAAAAAATTACAATTTAAATATGAGTAAATACGTTAACAATTTGGGAGATTTAAATCATTCTAAATGAAAAGTTACAAGGCTTGATATAAGACTAAAAGAACTCTGTAAACAAAAAAGGCTCTAGAAGTTATATAGAAAAAATTTATGATACATTCCTATAAACGGTGTACTGATATTTTATTTCAAAATATTATGTACTTAAAATTTGAGAGATTTTAATTTTTTTAAATGGAAAAGTTATTAGGCTTAGAAGGACTGAAAGGACTATGTAAACAAACAAGCCTTTTGAAGAAATATAGAAAAAATATATGATATATTCCTATAAAGGGTGTGTTGATATTTTATTTTAATATCATATTTACTTAACATACATAAGAAATAGTTTTTAAATAGATTACTTGATTTTTAAATGTCTTAAATGGAGTACAAAATGTATATGTATTTATTTCTGTATAGTTTGTCTTGAAAATATTATTCTTCAAGTACTTCTCATCCAATTTTCTCCTTGTGTGTGACTCCGATGTTCACGTCACGCGCGACCACTTAAAAAACCTTGGGACGCCCCCTGCCACCCACTCGGCCTGTTCTCCATTTCACCCAAACCCCATGGACCCCCCATCCCTGGCATTTTCCACCTCCTGCCGCCGCCCAAGCTCATTGCATTTTCCCTTAACAGGCCGTTAGTCGTTATTATTTTGGTCCATTGACGCTGCGGGCCATTGCTATATAGCCAGAGCGTAGTGTGTACACAAGGCGAAGAAGTGAGTGCTGTACATAATGGCTGAAACGATTGGGAGGGGAAGGAGAAGGACGCTCCTTATGTACCACCCCCAGGATATGGACTCGAACTCGGACCATCCACCGATCCACCCTCGGTGACGTTGATGTCCCGTATTGGAATCGCGTTCGTTTCGCTTTGGTCCTGGCCCTGGTCTCGGTCGTGGTCGTGGTCCTTGTCCTCATCGTCATCATCATCAACGGCAGCATCATCAGCAGCAGGACTCGCAGGACTCGGGGAGTGGGATGGTAGCAGGCACCACCAGGAGGGCAATTTTTATAATTTTAGTCTCGTTTGCTTTGAATTTATTTTTTATTTCTTTTTTCTCTGCGAACTTCCCTTGGCTTGAGTTGACTCCTCCCCCTTCTGGCAGGACTTGGTCCTGGGCGGGTGGATGCTTTTTTTCTTCCCACTTCCCTTCTACTTCGTCCTTTGGCTTGTTTCTTTTCTAACATTTCTTGTCAGCCAGCAGCGGAGACAGACAGAGACAGGCCGATAAGGAGCGACAGGGAGAGAGCGCGAGCCCCTCACTGATTTACTTATGGCCTTTGTATTGGTTTCAGTTGACGGCTTTTCCCTACCATCCATTTTCCACCTCATCCTTATCGTCCTTCTTCCCAGCAGCCACTGCAAAATGGCGTTGACTGTATTGATTTTTGATTTATTGCCGATTCGCCGCCTTGTTTGTGCCCGGATTTTTTGTGTTCACTGTACAGGACCCACAAAGCGGTTAATACGAAGCTAATGTTAGGGTTTTATGATTAGTCAGAGGAGGATAAACTGTACTGGAATAGCTTTGGAGATTTTTGGGGTCTTATTTAATATAATAATTGGGTTTTTCTGTCGAGAATTAAAAGCTAATTTGATAACAAATTGTATAATGAAATCCTTTAATGAACTTATTTAAAGTTAAAGGATCTTAAATGAATATAAATTTAATTTCAACACACTCTAAATAATTTTAATTAATTGAAAAATATTTTTCTACAAAAGCAGAAAGGTTAACAATTTTAACAAGAAAATAAAAAATCGTATAGCTCAGCCAAAAATTCATTAATTTTAATTCGGAAAACGGTCCTATGCTAGTTTTTACAAGGTTAACAAGTCTGCATACTCAGTTTAAAAAGTAAAAATTTAATTATTTTTCACGATTTTTGAACGATATAACCCCTTTTAAAATTTTGACAAATTTTTAAATAATTTTTGTTTCTTTCTGAGATGGATAGATCGATTCCCCTGTTGATTCTGATCTAGAATATATATGATTTATAGGGTCGGAAATGACTCCTTCTCAGCGTAACAAGCTTCTGAATAAGAATATAATACCCTGCAAGGACATAAAAATATGCAGCACTAGTAAGTAATTATATTACTTAATTGAACACTTTCCCATTGGTTGCTCTTAGGTTTATTATTTAAACAATCACAAGCAAGCAACTTTAAATCCCATCTTCTGCAATTCCTTAAATCTCTTCCCTTCAGTGATTCCTTGGAATTAATTAAGCTAGAAATCTATTCAGTATTCCCTGTGTATACTGACTTGTCCTTGTATCTTTTCCCAGTACACATCATCAGCTTTTATCGAATGTTCCCTGTCCCCCATTACAGCATCCACTCCATTTGCTGCTCATATTTCCTGCAGCATTTTTCCTTTCGTCCAGAGACAAACATTTCGCTTCGCCATTTCCAGGACCTTTCAGGATGATGGCGATGGAGTGGAGGGAGAAAAAAATGTAGCTGGACACAAACTACGCAAATACGTGAAGAAATCTTTTATTTTGTCCTGGCATTCACGCTCATCAGCTTTTAATTTTATGCTCTTCCCGGGATTTCTCCGAAGAGTGTCCTGAGTCCTGTCCCCGGCTGAGTCTCAGCTTAGGTCTCAGTCTCGTGGCAACCGGCGCTAATGAGATCCGAGCGAGGCGAAGTCCAGGCGCCAGGCAACTTTCCATTACGTCGACTTTTTCCAGCTTTTCCTCGCCTTTCCACCGATTTTCCTCCTCCTCCTCCTCCTCTCCTAGTTGTTGTGTGTTTCATTTTGAACCTTTGTGCGCGATGGCTCTCCAAGTTGCCTGCTCGTCGTCCTCCTCGGGGACAGCAAATGTCCTTTTGGCTTGTTAAGAAAATGTCGCTCTCTAATGCAGGACGTTGGAGTGGGAGTGCTAGTTGTCCTTGTTGTTTTTCCTCCGTCGCGCTCTTAAATTAGAAAAATGTAAATTTATTTTAATTAAGATAAATAAGTAACAAAATGTTTTATGGAAATTACGTTAACAACGCGTAGACAAGCGGGTGACGGGCGGCCATTACTGGACAGGAAGGGGGCCGCGGACCGGAAGGAGATTTTGTGAGAGAAGGGGGGGAGTGGGGACCGCAGGACAACTGCTTTAGCATGCAAATACACATAATCAGCAGAGCGGCAGGCAGGCAGCGAACAGCAAAAACAACAGAGGTCCTGGCCAAGGCCCACCTCCTCCTGGTTTTCTATATATTTTTTTCCGCCCCTCCCCACCTCTTGAAATGGAATTATTTTTTCCCCATTTGTATATTCCGCCATTTTTTATGGCTTTGTTGAAAAGTTTTGCCGTTCGTTTGCTTCTCACAGTTTTTTATTCACAATTTTTTTTCTCCGCTCTCTCTTTTTTTTGTTTATTAACATCGATCGATGAGTGATTCCCGTTTATTTGCATTGATTACCCATGTACACACACTTTTGACCGCCACTGTTATCGACACTCGTCTGCTGGCGATGTTGAAACTTTTAATTGAGTGCCCCAAACCCAGAGCCTGAACAATTAATAAAATATTTCCCATTGTTCTTGTTCAAATTAACCAGAGTATTAATAAAGCAACAACAAAAAAAGGATATAATATATGTTTCTGGCAAAGTATCAACGGAATATAAAATATGTATTTCTGTGAGGGAGGTTAATATTTATATTTGTTCAATTCATTTAAAGGGTTCTTCGCAATTAGCATTTATAGTTAACAGAACTGGGAATTGTAAAATTGGGAATAAATATATTAAACTAATCAAAAATAATAATAATAATCCTGATATAGGTTTTGTTATTTAAAGAGAAAAGTGCTTAATATAATTTTAAAACTGTTAATAGAATGAAATACTAATATAAATAAACTTGTAACTTGCTAGAATCTTTATTTACTTTATAAATGTTCTTTTATGAGAACATTTCCCACTTATTAAGTAGGCTTTTCGCTGTATATATCTCAGATACAGCTTCC